ATGGTGTCATTACCTCCTGTTCTTCACATCAGCATCTGAGCTCCGATACGTATCACGATTCAAACTTTTACACAAGGGTATTCTAGTCGAGTAATCAGATTCCTTTCCTCACATGATGTGCATACTGAAAACGACAGTTGCTTTGCAAGGCCGGAGCGATCGTTGCACCACAAATCACTATATAAACCATAAACTGTACGCTATTAGTTGCATCTTACTTGTCTCCTTGGTATGACCGCAGCCTAAATTTGCGGCATTTTGCGATCATGAAGATGGTGTTCATGTGACTTTTGTCCGAAACAATGAGATGCTGCTGTTACAGATGTTCTAGTCGCAAGTCAGACAAACATGAGGATCGTTTTCAATGCAAACAGATTGGTGATTTTTTAGTCAGGTTTTCCCAGAAAATGAACGCGCAACATTTGTCGTCCAAATTATCGCTCGAATATCGTTTTGTGATTCTTCCAGTCTGTCGTGCCGACAACTGTACTCATGAAGACGTTCAGGTAAGCCAACATCGTCATCACCCCTCTCGTTCGAATGTTTCCCTTATCATTCTACGCAAAGCTGTCGAGCCGATGTCGTCTGTAGTCACTAAATTGTTTCAATCCTCGCAACTGTTAGCTCTGTATGCAAACAAAGTGCGACCTTATCGAAGATGACATGGGCGGTAGCCTGGATGAACTACAATAATTTTCGATTACACGAGAACATGATTACACCTGAAGATGAAAGTAAGGAGAAAAGGCAATTGTTCCAGAAGACGATTGCAGCAGACTAGTTCTCCTTTGATTGCATCCGATTAGCTGCCAACTGCTATCACTGTTACTTAGCATCATCATCCTTTTATTCCTTCGAGACCAAGCCTGAATGCCAGGCCAGGTCTGTCAATTTGATACATTAGATTTGGTCAATCAAGACAAACCTCAACATCCTCAGCGAGAATTCCATCTCCTCCACAATGAGGCGACGGGGTAGCCCATTACATTAGATTGACACTAAACGGTGTAAAAAGGAAAATTGGCTAGCATGACAATATTCTACCGATATTATCCGAGATGGATGATATTGAAGGAACATTATCCCCTTGTAGGATAATCTTCATGCGCTGCATAAAGATTGGTTGACATCAGACATACCGACCATATATTGCCACCAATCGCTGCTAGATGCGCGCAATGAGTGGTGAGCAGGTTGTCGTCATACGACGACGTAATTTGATATAGTTAGATCAAGACTGAAGTTACAGTGATAGCTTAACTGTATTACATACAGGTCTCTTTTACCCTTTACTCAGATTAGCTGTTAATTAGATTAGCTTCCTCTGCACGTACTAGTGTACGTGAAGTTTCTTGGCACCCCAAACAAAGGGTGCCTCGTTACACCTGGTATCACTTCGTAGTCCGTCCAACGATACTTAGTGTCCGTCCAACATAAACATGTTGGACGTAGAAGACGACAGCTTTCACTTCACACGTGAAGGCTACTCCCATCCGAGTGACTCAGAATGAGAGGTAGTCGGCCGCACGAATGTGCTCATGGGCGAACCCGCCATCAGTGGCATGTTGGGGTCTCTAAGCAGAGACCAGCAACATGCCGCTATCAACGAGTTCCTAAAAGGTGAACTTGCCGTCGAAAGACAGAAGATAGCCTTGCTACAACAGCAAGGCTCTCATCAGTTGATGGGTCGACCGACGCACATGCGTCCACCCGAAACCTTGAAGATTGATATCTCAAGGAATAAGGTAACCGGTAAAGACTACCGTGTGAGATGGTTTGTCGATTTAGACGACGCCATCAGGGCCCGTCACATCGAGGATGACGAGATGCAAGTCACCTTCGCCCTGTCAAATTTGACGGGACGAGCAAAGACTTGGGCCTTAGGGCTCAAGATTCACGACCCAAACGTGTTTGAGTCGTTGGAGATCTTGAATTCTCGGCTAAAAGAGACGTTTGAGCCGCCCAGAGTCGAGTCAAGAGCACGCTCTGCACTCTTGAGGCTAAAACAAGGTAAGCGTGACGTGCACGCTTACGCACAACACTAACGCTACCTTGCGAGTAGCGTTACCAAGAAGCCTGTTGATGAGCACACGCTCATCAACATGTTCATATACTTCCTTGTAGATTGGCCGGTGAAGACCTACATGTTCCAAGAGGACTTCCATACACTGGAAAAGGCGATAGCGTATGCAGAACAAGAAGACTTTAGCCTGAGACAGTCTCAGGCTAACTCGTCAAATTATCTTCCAACGAGACGACAGAAAACAGATGGTCCCGAACCAATGGACCTCTGCTATATCGAGAGCGAGAATTCTCGCTCTCTGAGTCACAAGCGAACGGCAAGATGCCATCGCTGTCAGAAGATTGGACACTGCGCTCACGGGTGTAGTGTCCCGAGCACCGCAACACGTCCAAAGACAGGACGTGATGACCACCGTTGGCCAAGGAAAGGTCCGAGGCATGGGTCAGACCATGTCGCTAAGCCGCGACAGCAAGTCGGACCGTCAAAAAACGGTCAGGGTCAGTAGGGTCGGAGCACCCTGCTCATCCAGCAACGTCAAGAGAATTTGCAGGACTCTCGACGAAGATTGCTCCCAACACGCAGTCTCTGTGTGTTACTACCCTTAGTGATTAGGAGTCTATCATCACTTTGAAGATCGAAGTGACAAGTGGAATGTCACTTCGCGCACTGATTGACTTTGGGGCGTCGAACGGTTTTTTACGACGCCAGTTGCTAGAGAATAGTAGGCTCAACTGTGTTGAGCGAGATATCCCTCCAACGAGGATGACGGTGTGCTTTGCTACAGGCGCATCCGTAACAGTGAACGAACGTGTAGTGAGAATCCACTACACGCTAGAGGGAAAGCAGTATGATGATGACCCCATCGTACTAGATTTGGATGAAAAGTTTGATGTCATCCTCGGTCTTCCATGGCTTGGAAAATAACAGCCATGGATCAGCCTCCCGTGCACAGCAGTAAATACACCCTGTGGTATGCTCTGGGAGTGGCTAGTGATTACACAGTGGATAAGTAACACCCCTGCAACGTTTAGCAGATGTGTTACAAATCTGTTGCGATCGGTGCAAGATTTTTCACCGTTTTGATGGTGTCTTCGCCCATAGCCGGGCAATCGATGGAAGGACAGAGGTTGAGTTTCATTGAATCCACGTCCGGAAGGTTCTTACACTAGTGCGAGAGCATAAGTTGTTCGAGAACCTCAAGAAGTGTAGATTCGCAGCGAACAAAATACCACTTCTTGGCTGCATCGTGGGTAAAAACGTGTACGCCCTGATTCGGAAAAGATCAAGGCGATTATCAACTGGCCTGTGCCATTCGACGTCAAGGAACTTCAAACGTTCCTTGGCTTGGCAGCATTTTTGCACAAATACTCACGCAACTATGCCGAGATGAGCGTACATCTCTCTCGTCTACTAAAGAAAAACGAGAGGTGATCATGGAGCGCTGAGAGTCAGCACTCTTTTGAAGGCATCAAGAAAAGCTTGGTGCAATCGCCTGTGTTGGTAATTGCAGATCAGGATAGACCATTTCATGTGGTCTGTAACGCCAGCGATTTTGCAATCGGCTGTTTGTTAATGCAGTAAGACTCAGACGGCGTTGAGCGCGTCGTCTGTTATCGATTGCGTCAGCCGCAAGCAGCTGAGCGAAATTATATCCGGTGCATGACAAGGAGCTTCTTGCCAAGAAATATGCACTGGCCAATTTCGGGTATATCTCTAAGGAGATAGGCCCTTTCATCGTTTATACCGACCATGCATCTTTACGCACGGTCGTAAACAGTACACACCTCTCGCAACGAATGGCGAGGTGGCTGTCTTTCTTCGAGGAGTACAATTGTTCTATCGAGAATAAACCGGGATGACTTAATGTCTTCGCTGATGCTCTTTCGCGCCGGCCCGATTTTAAGCTAACTGCTCAACCCAACAGTAGGGGTGATCCCACTGTAGCGACACTAGCAGTGAGTGTTCCGTCGTCGAATCTGCTCGACGACGTGCAAAAAGCATACGCAGAAGATGAGTCTCTTCTGCGGTTGATGGATTATGTAGATAATCCGTGCAGTCAAGCTTTCAAAATATTGTCGTCTCAATACCGCTCTTCAACCGAAGGGTATTCTGTTCGTGATGTACTACTGTACTCTACAGCAGTCAACGGCGAAACATCTTGTGTCGTCTTTCCGGCTCATGACGATTTTCGATTGCGCATCATATATGAGTGTCAGGATACTCCAACCAGTAGGCATCGCGGTAGAGAAAAGACTTACCTCACAGTAAGTCGTGATTTCTACTGGCCGCGGCGGTATGAGTCTGTGTGCAATTACATCCGTGCTTGCGAATTTGCTAACGGGTGAAGCCTAGTCCTTCATCCCGTGCACCCTTGCAGCCTCTTCCGATTCAGGCAGAGTGTTGGAAGTCCGTATTGATGGACTTCGTCTTCGGGTTTTTTAAAGACGTTTATAAAAATACTGGTACTTGTGTTTGTTGATCGGTTCAGCAAGATGGTACATCTTGTTGCTGTACCGGAATCAACCACAGCCCAGGGCTGTGCGCGCGTCCTCATCGATACGATCTTCCGACTTCACGGTTCACCCCGAGATCTCGTGTCCGATAGAGACCCCCGCTTTACGGCGGAGTTCTGGCAATCCGTGTTCTGTTCACTTGGAACACGTTTGACGATGTCAACTTCTAACCATCCCAAGACAGACAGTCAGACGGAGCGCGTCAACCGCGTTCTCGAAGCGATACTTTGAGGGTATGTTCACACGTTTACGAGCTGGAGTGAGTTCTTGCCGATGGCGGAATTCGCCATCAACAACTCGGTGCATGCGTCTACAACGCATACACCGTGCTTCGTGAATGGTCGACGCCATCCACGTTTACCCGCCTTCTTAGAGTGAGACTCTAGTTTAAGGGGGAGTGGACTCGCTCGAACAAAAAACGATCTGGTTCTTGCTCATCACCCGTCGGCAGTGGTGTCGACGTGATGGATGCCGATGTCTATGGGATCGATATCGATGATGACGATGACGAAGATGCTGGCATATTCAGCATCACCAATGACCACCAAAGTGAGGACGATGACACCCTCACTGGTGATGACAACGTTCTTTCAGCAGTGCACACGAAGCACACTGCTGTTGATAAGGATGAACCAGCAGAGGAATTTCTGCTGACTCGCGAAGCGGCTGTCCGCTTCGTTCAAGACTCTGTTGCAGATGCACTAGACGGACAGAAGAGAAATGCAGACAAACGTGGAAGAGCAAATGTTCTTTAATTTGATGAAGAAGACCTAGTTTTACTGTCTACAGTAAACTTAACGATGCACGCATGGACAAACGTGGGCAGCAGTAAATTAATTGCCCGGTACATCGGTCCATTTCGTGTGTTGCACCGAATGGACAACGCATACACGATTGAACTGCCCCGTAAGATTCGTACGCATCCTACGCTTTACGTCGGTCGTCTCCGCCCGTACTATCAGTACGAGCCCGCTTCAAGATGCGAAAAACACCTCCGCGGTCGAGAGCCGAGACCACCTTCGAGTGGTCCCGTTTCAACGGGTCAGTCTGGTCGACTAGAGAAGCGACCTTTTCGCGCAGTTGAGCGATGTCTCGACGAGCTACAGCCAAGCCGTCGCGAAGAGAACGAGTCGAACGTTCGTTCTCAAGTTGTGCGAACGCAAGCGCGGCACAATCTTTCGAACGATCGTGCGCGAAGGAATATAAATTATCCCTCACAAGATCCTCAAGCCCATAACACCGAGATCGTTCATGAGCCAGGTCATCTTGCAACTGTTCCGTTAGACGGTTCAGCTCTTGAACATCAACCTGATCCAACCCTCGAGCAGTATTAGGTGTTCCAACCGCCACCACATCCTTTGGTGGACTCAAGCGGTGGTCAACGCTTCTTAGTGGAGCATATTTTGAACCACCGCGATGTGAATGGCGTCCGGACGAGTCACCTCGTCCGCTGGCGTGGCTATTCACCGGCGTAGGACAGCTGGGAGCTTCTTGCCCAGATGATTGTTGATGTCGTTGGTCTCGTCGAGCAGTACGACGAGACCCAACCGCTGCATTTAAAGAAGGGCCGTCGGAAAAAGACCTCCCTGAACGCGAGTACAGGGATTGCAAAGAGTCGATCCCTTCGGCCATCTCAGAAGAGATGCGCACCTTCCAGTAGGGATCATACAAAAGGTAGACCTCTTGTAACGGGGTGAATCGTTACATAACAATTTATAAGAAATTCTTAATAGAATATAACTATAAGAGTTTTATTCTCAGAATATTGTCATAAGGACAAATATTCTGTAGCACTTACGAGTAGTTCCTAATTGGTTGATATAGACCATTATATCAACCAACGAAGACGCGCCACGACAGACGCACGCAATGAGTGGTGAGCAGATAACTGATTTACACATTTGTATTTAGACATAGTTAGATGAAGATAAATAGTGATTTATTGCAGACATTAACTATTATAAATACAGTTCTACTTTTTACTTTAACCAAGTACTCGCTTCTTCTTACCGTCTTCCTCTGCACGTACGAGTGTACGTGAAGTTACGAGGCACCGCCTTATTCTGTCATCAGAATAAGTAGCTTGTACTGTCACCAGTACAAGCTTCAGGGTGCCCCGTTACACCTGGTAGCACTTCGTAGTCCGTCCAAGGACCACGTTCACATCCAACATGAATATGCTGGATGATGAAGATGACCAAAGCTTTCACGCTACGCGTGACGGCTACTCCCATTTGAGCGATGTCGAATGGGATGCGGTTGAACGGATGGGTTCGACCATGGGCATCCATGCTGTTAGCGTCATGCTAGAGGCTCTCAATAGAGATGCCCAACATGCTACTATCGCCAAGTTCATTCAAAATGAGCTTGACGCTGAACGCGAGAAAGTAGCCTTGCTTCACCAACAAGGTTCTCAACAAGCAGAGTTGTTGAGAGAACAAGGTGCTCAACAGTTTGAACTGTTGAGACAGCAGCAGGCTGCTGCTGGTGGGTCGATGCACTCGCGTCGACCCGAAACCTTGAAGATTGACATCTTAAAGTATAGGGGAGTCGAAGAAGACTCCCTCTTGAGATGGTTCGTCGAATTGGATGAAGCCATAAGGGCGCGTCGCATCGACGACGGGGATATTCAAGTTGCATTTGCCCAGTCAAATCTGGCAGGACGTGACAAGACTTGGGCACTGGGGCTCAAGTTGCACGACCCATATGCGTTTGGGTCGTTGGAAGTCTTCAAGTCGCGGCTCAGACAAACGTTTGAACCGCCTAGAGCTGAGTTCAGAGCTCGAACCGAACTCTTGAAGCTTAAACAGGGTAAGCGTGATGTACACGCTTACGCGCAACATATACGACATCTCACGAGTTGTATAAGTTCCAATCCGGTGGATGAACACACGTTGGTTTCGGTGTTCATGCAGGGTCTTGCGGATGGTCCCGTCAAGACTCACCTGTTCCGGCTTGAACTAGATTCACTAGAACAAGCCAGTTCCATTGCGGAGCAGGAAGACTTCAGTCTGAGACAGGCTCGCGCCAGCTCGACATCATATCGTCAACCGAGACGATATGACAACGGAGGTCCAGAGCCGATGGAACTCTGTTATGTAGAGAGCGAGAAGGCTCGCTCTACAGGCTACAAGAGGTTGCAGAGATGCAACAGATGTCAAAAGACAGGACACTACGCTTACGAGTGTAGTGCCCCTCGTCCAGTGTCTCGCGACACTGGGCGTAGTGACCGTCCACCCATGAGAAAGGGGCAGGGACGAGGGTCCGCAGTTGGTGCAAAGACGCAACAACGGGATGGACCGTCAAAAAACGGACAGGATCAGTAGGTGCGGAGCACCCTACTGATCCAGCAACGTCAAGAGAATTTGTAGGCCTCTTGATGAAGGTTGCTCCCAACACACAAACGTTGTGCGTTGCTGCTCTAGGTAATGAGGTCTCACTCATTACCTTGAAACTCGAAGTGACGAATAAGTTGTCCCTTCGAGCTCTAGTCGATTGTGGGGCGTCCAACAATTTTGTGCGACGCCAATCGCTAGAAGATGGTCACTTTAAGATTAGTGAGTGTGACACACCTCCTACGAGGATGACGGTACGTCTTGCGACAGGCGCATCCGTAACCGTCATGAAGCGTATAGTGAAGATCCACTATACGCTAGAAGGTACCCAATATGACGATGACTTTATCGTATTGGATTTGGATGACAAATTTGATGTCATCCTTGGAATACCGTGGCTCAGAAGGTACGAACCACGGGTAAACTGGCAACATCGAACAGTAACGATGCCTGCCGCTTGTTCATCAGATGGCCATCTGATGAACGTTTTGGAGCGTCCACAAGCGTGTGGATGTACTACGAGTGAGTGCGATGGCCTCACTTGTGGTACGGTCGTTAGTACGACTGCACAAAACCTTAGTGTACCAAACGGTTACACTTCGGAGCAAAGTTCCGGCGGCTGTGAGGAAACACAGGCTGCGCCGAAGGTCCACCACTCGAATAAGTCGGGTGGACTGGGACAAAGATGTATCCCTAGCGGGGAACATCTAGAAGAGAAACGATCGATCGCTCAGGTTAAGCGAAACGATAATCCTAGATCGACTGGAGAGTCTTTCGTAGAGGATCTCGCTGTGGTTGCGCAACCCCAGCTAGAGGAAATTAAGGGAATAAGTCCCGATATTACAAATACGGCGGAAATAAGTTCCCCGAAACCCGCGGGAATAAGTCCCCGGGAAGACGAAGGAATAAGTCCTTCGAAGCCTGAGGGAATAAGTCCCCAGGAAATGACAGAGACATTGAATGTCATAGTCAATAACGGATCAAGTGTAGGCGCTTATACACTTGATCTGATTGCGCCTCCGAAGTTAACTTCGGAGATCACTCAGTTGCCAACGCTCGAGCATAAAAGGTTCTTGCGTGATCTGCGTAGTGGCAAAGTCAAGCAGATCTGCATACTCGTCGCTGACGACGAGTGTGTAACCGACATAATGTCAGCAACAGTGTTCACTGAGAACGAGAGAGTTCTCAGTAGTTCATCTATGGACGAGAGTGTCCTAGATGAAAAGACACGAATTGAGCGATATGACTCCCAATCGTGGGAATCGCTCAAGAAAAATTCTCTCTATGAAGATTTGGTTGAATTCAAGGATGTATTTCCTGAAACTGTTCTGTGCAAATTACCGAAGGATAAAGGTATTCGACACGAGGTCGAGCTTAAACCAGGCTCGAAGCACTGTGTCATGAAGCAGTGGTCACTGCCTCGTGATCAAGTACGTGCGATCGCCAAGTTCTTTGCCGATCGTTTAGCTGCGGGCCATGTGAGGGAATCAACTTCCCCACATAGCTCTCCGACCTTCTGTGTGCGAAAAGCAACAGGAGGGTGGCGGATAGTGCACGCGTTCAACAAATTGAACGCTGCAACGGTACTGGCTCAGACGCCGATACCGAGGAAGGACGTAATCATTGATGGTATGTCAAAGAGTACCATCTTTTCGTCCATGGATTTGATGGATGGCTTCTATCAAATCCTTATGCGGGAACGGGATATACCCGATACCGCAGTTAGCACGCCTAGCGGCATGCTCTGGGAATGGCTAGTAATGCCACAAGGGATCAGTAATGCCCCTGCCACGTTCAACAGATGTGTATCACATCTGTTGAGACCAGTACGAGAATTCGCGCCGAGCTATTTCGATGACGTATTCATCCATAGTCGAGCTATGGATGGAAAGTCGGACGTTGAGGTTCACAGGTACCACGTCCGACAGGTTCTTACAATCATGCGAAAGCATCAATTGTATGCAAACCTCAAGAAGTGTATATTTGCCGCAAGCGAAATACCACTTCTTGGGTGCATCGTTGGTAAGAACGGTGTACGTCCTGATCCCGAAAAGATCAAGGCGATCACCGACTGGCCTGTGCCAATTGATGTCAAAGGTCTTCGAAAATTCCTTGGGCTAGCGGCGTATTTGCATAAGTATTCACGCAATTACGCCGAAATGACTGTGCACCTCTCTCGTTTGTTGAAAAAGAACGAGAGGTGGTTATGGAACGCTGAATGTCAGCGCTCCTTTGATGGTATCAAGCAGAGCTTGATACAATCCCCAGTCCTAGCAATAGCCGATCAGGACAGGCCATTTCATGTGGTCTGTGGTGCCAGCGATTTCGCAATCGGCTGTGCATTAATGCAGTACGATCTTGAAGGCGTTGAACGCGTCGTCTGCTATCAGTCGCGTCAGCTGCAACCAGCTGAGCGGAACTATCCAGTGCATGACAAGGAACTCCTTGCCATGAAGTATGCACTCGCAAAGTTCAGAGTCTATCTATTAGGAGATAGACCCTTCGTTGTTTACACTGACCATGCGTCATTACGCACGGCAGTGAACAGCCCGCACCTTTCACAACGAATGGCGCGGTGGTTGTCATTCTTTGCGGAATACAACTTTACGGTCGAGTACAAACCAGGACGACTTAATGTCGTTGCTGATGCACTCTCACGTCGTCCCGACTTTGAAACAGTCGCGAAACCCAACAGTGAGACAGTCACTGTTGCGGTTATGACGTCCTCAGTCCCATCTACAACGTTGTATGATGATGTGAGGCGGGCATACGCCCAAGATGGTGAGATAGTGAAGTTGTTGACACATCTCTCCCAACCATCTCGAGAATCGTTGAAACGATTGTCGTCTGCGTATCGATCTGCATCAGATCGATACACTACTCGTAACGGTTTACTGTACTATACAGCCGTTTCTGGTGACACACCACGTGTTGTCATTCCAGATGATACTGATCTGCGTTTGCGGATCATGTTCGAGTATCACGATGCTCCTATAGGAGGACATCGTGGCCGAGAGAAAACATATCTCACGGTAAGTCGAGACTTTTACTGGCCCCGCCAGTATCAGTTTGTGCGAAAGTATGTTCGCGCATACGAAGTCTGCCAACGAGTGAAGTCAAGTCCTTCACTGCGTGCACCTTTACAGCCTCTACCGGTTCCGGCTGAGTGCTGGGAATCCATCTCAATGGATTTCGTCTTCGGGTTACCCAAAGACGCACGCGGGAATACGGGTATTCTCGTTTTTGTTGACAGATTCAGCAAAATGGTACACCTTGTGGCTGTACCAGAGACAATCA